TTATTAGAGTTCAGTTTGTTCCATTGGTAATGTCTAATCGGTGATTGATGCACAATTCATTTGTTATTAATTGCATCAATTCAATTTAGTCACCCTTTCCCAAGCTCGTTTATTTTTGCCCAGATATTTTTCCTTCACAGCGAATTGGATCAATTTAGATTTCTATGCCAAAGAGGGAACTCAACGCACATCGCACCTCCGATTAGCACGGTTGGCTATGTACGGTGCGAAATAAGTTAATTGTACAACTTGCTGCGTCAATTCAGGCATCTTAACGAATGACCATAGCCTCCTCCGACTTGCCCTCACTGTTAGATGAATCGCCATCGCTCCAGGTTCATTGTTCAATGCAAAATATCTTATTTTCTTTCCCGTTTTTTCTTGTCCCATTTATATTGTCTGTCTCGTCTGCTTTTGTCTCATCGGTCATATCTCATTCGCTTCCATCAGTCCAAGTACAGTGTTACTGTGTAGGTATATCATTTGCATGGATGGTAGTTTGTCGATTCTTACACACACAATTTAATGCATGGATTGTGGGCTTATGAATTGAATGTATACAATTAAGCATCACGGGCCAAATAATATACACATACATGAATATACACATACATATTCAAACTTCAATTGTTTTCTGTAATACATCATTCATGGTAATTTAACCCTTGCACTTTACTCACGAGGGACAAGATGAAGGCAGTGGAGTATAAAAACAAAAACATTTAAAAAGCCATCATCTAGAGTAGATGTCTTTTTTTGAATTTTGAAGTTTTTTTTATTCCTAATTTTATTTTGATTCATCAAAGTTGCAGCCATATAAATTTGTTTCTCCCAATTAATTGTCTGCAGGCCAAAGCTTAAAAAACCCGAGCCCACTTTTGTTGCAAGGGTCAAGGCATTATTCATATTCCCCACTCGCCGGCTCCCTTCAAAGTGATTTTGATCAAGCAAAACAGGCTGCAAGCGGTAAATCTTTACCCAACTTGTCATTCTAAAGTTCAATGCCAGCCTCAGTCTATAAGGTCGCCTTCAAACAAATAGCTCTTTAACCTTTGGATTCATTAGCAAGCGATGCTACCTTCCCCAGCAGGGCAACCACCCTTGAAGTTTTGTAACCAGGAGCGAAGGAAATGTCACCACAACGTTGGGTGCTTTGATACACAATTTTGTTGCACACACACAAAGACAAAGATTCCCCGTATAGCCGTTAACAGGCTGTTGGGGCAAGTGCTGTTTGTGCACACCTATGAAGTCCGGCATGGCGCACGAGTGAGGAGTGTGGCCAGCACCACATCCCGCCGTTTTTGTCTCCCCAATACTGATGTTTACACACTGCACCGGTTACTCATTTCAGGCTAAATCTACCTAGAAGAGGCCCAGAACCACTTCAGATTTCCGTCATAGGTCGGCGGGTTCATAGCGCAGCTGCGTTATAACCGCTGCACCACCACTCCCCACACATCCACACACACACGCACACTTGCACATGCGCAAGCAGTAACAAGAGCAATTGTCATTCACCATTGAGTGGTAGTCACATCACCACAATGCCAGACGAGGTGCACTTTGAGGCCACGTGAAGCGTCAAAGGCTCCCCGACAAGAAGTCACGGGAGAGACCCAGGAATTGTGGGTTAGCTGACTGCGAGTACGGCCAAATGCACCAATTGCAAACCCCGATTTTGTGCCAACTCGCTGTGTTTGAGCTTTCTGGCGCTCTGATCATTGATGTGAGCATCACTCCCCTGCCTTAGTTTGCTGATAGAGGGCGGCTGCTGCCAACTGCGCCAGTAGCGTCCTTCACGAGCGTCCTCCACAGAGACCGATCTTGAGACCACGGGTGCCAGCCATCAGCCAATCCACTCCTCTGTAATCCCTGCCGTCACCTTAGATCTTCATGTCCGTTGAGCCCCCTTTATCTGGCCGAACAAGCCGCTTGACTGTACGTTTTGTTTCTACCAGATGCAAATTCAATTGATGCAGCCGTGGAAGGCTTTTCTAAAAAAAAAAAAGATGCTACATAGTGTAGGAGACAGAGGACATCACTGTTGCACTAAGGTGAACATGGAATGAGTCTAATTCATGGTTATGCAGCTTTACCTGGCCCTGCTTACCTTCAGGGAGTCCCAAAACATGGATCACAACCAAAACACATTGTCTCTTGATTGTATCTTAGGTCTTAACTACGTCAATAAAGCAGAGATGTAGGTTCTGCTGAAGTCTTGACACCTCTGCTGTAGCAGACAGACAGAGAATTTGGCATACATGCAGGACCATCTCTGCTTTAAACGACACTGGGGCTCCAACACCGTGACCTTTGCATTCTGAAGCAAAGCGTTTTCAAATTATATTTGCCATGACATTTCCTGGCACACTGAGGAGGGAGATGCCCTGGTGTGTTACCCCCATCTTACAGAGGGGACCACCAGGGCATCCTCTCAAGCCTGAAGCAACCAGCATGTGGCCCAGCCAGCTGTAATATGATACAGATCAGCCTGTACAAAATCGCCACCCTGCCTCAACAGGAAGTCATATTTGCCCAGCGCTTTATCTGACCTCGGATCGCTCTTCGCACCTACTTTGCAAACAGCATATCAGATGTGCTGCTTCTGCGGCCGTCCGGAACGTTCTTCCTTTCCGATATTAGGAAGCTACTGGAGCTACGCACTTTTAAATAATATAGATTGAAACTCATTTTGTTGAGAACTGCTTTTTCGTGTTTAGTTTGTTGACCTTCCCCCACACCTCCGATTAGCACGGTTGGCTACGTACGGTGCGACAGACGTTCGGCAGACGTACATACGAGCCACTCTCAGGGGGCAGCTACCTCCTCCAGAATTTGACGATCTGCGGTACAAGAAGGGTCAACCTCCCCTTGCCCCGTTATGCCGTTTGGGTTGAGGGGCTTCGCCCTTCCTCGAATAAATGCTCAGTAAAGTGGCAGACCTGATCTTTTGGAGTCGGAGAACAGATTTATATTTTTCTCCTTCAGGTCGTCAATTGCAATGGTTACTGAAAGTTACTCTTTTGACGGAATTAATTCGTGACGTCCCCGGAAATGCATGGCTGCCACTCGTTCTTGCAGCGACGAATGCCTCTCGGAACCTTCTTGAGCAGAGGCTGCGGTAAGCCTTTTCAGTCGTAAGGGGGTGGGATATTTCGTTGGAAACGTACGTACGTCCAACTTGTTCCGCACCGCACGTAGCCAGCCGCGCCAATCGGAGGTGCGGCAAGTAAGGCACCCGCCACTTTCGCTCACCTGGCTAGAACACATCCTCTGTCAGCTGGGATTTCTGAGAAGATCTTTGCTGGATACCTTGCGCAGACACGACAGCTGTATGAGCCATGGTTCTGAACCTCGCCCGTTTCTTCTCAGATACATAAGGAGGGGGTGGGAAGCCAACCTCAGATGCAAGCTGCACACCACACCACACACACATGCATTGCACACAAGGCGATATAAGAACATTTTGTAGACCACATTAATCATGTACGTTTATTGTAAGGCTGCCGCATGGTGTACATGGCATAGTACTTTGCACTTTATTATGCAACGGTCACCATCATCTGTACATGTCCCTCGTGTAGTGACACAGGCGCTCACACACCTGAGCTTCCCGGAGGAGTAGGTGCAGTCTGCACACGTGGCTTGTCTCTGGCTGTAACCACTTTCCTCATATTTGCAAAATGACTTCTTAAGGAATTGGCGGAGCACTGAATGGTCATTCCAGAACATGAGGCTGGGAGACTCATTAAGGTTTTCGTGAGGAAACGCATTATTTGTATGTCATGCTAACATGATTTTATTGTATAAAAAGTTATCTTAGTGTCAGCTTTGAACATTTTGTGCTCTTGAACCCATTAAATCACTTGATCGACTATTATGGTTGGCAAAATGAGAGTTTCTCATAAGCGATATCGATTGCGAAATTTTCCCCCACGCTTGCGCAGATTGGCATTCAATCACGAACATCCAGAATCCCACCGGAACCTCGTGACCCGCTCCTGTCAACGAGACCACAACGCCCGCAAACCCTCAGAGTCCTCCACTGGCTCATCATCCAATTCCGATTGAAATTCAAGCTTGTCCTCACCATTTTCAACATCCACCATGGACTTTCCCTTTGACATCTCTCCCCCTCCTCTGCTCTCAACTCACTCTTCTCCTCCTCCTCCTCCCCACGCACTCGACGACCGAAGCTTTCCGCCAAATCCTCCAGTCAGCGGGAGGTCACTCCTTCTCTGCTGCTGCCCATGTAGTCTGGAACTCCCTCCACCTGGCCATCTGTGCTGCCGACTCCCTGCCCCTGGTTCACGTAAAGCCTCCAGACCTTCCCTACTGCCTGTGCCTCGAATATCAACCCCTCGAATATCAACCCCTCGAATATAAACGCATCGATAGATGCGTGCATCTCCTTGTGTTTGGCGGTCCCTCGTGATGCGTCTGTCCTACTTTCTGTACATCATCTTGAGATGCAGCTGCATTGTTGAGATTCGATGTAAACTCCGAATTGTAGGTGTATTCCCAACATACGTGTGTGGTCTGTGTGTGGACAATACGGGTGTGCATATTTGGCGCGTGTTTTGCATGCGTGTGCGTGTTTAGCGCGTGTGTGTGTGTGCGCGTACATTTTTGACATGTGTGTGAATGTGCATGTTTGGGTCTTGCGCGTGTGCATCCATCTGTTGTTTGATGCGTGTCTATACGTCCGTGTTTGGTTTGTGTGTGTGCGCAGGTTTGCCTTTTGCACGTGTTTGATTTGTGCGTGTGCGTACGCACGTATGGTGTGTATGCGCGTGTTTGTCTTTGTGTGTTTGCTTTGTGTGCACCGTTTTTGTTTATGCGTGTCTGGATTGTGTATTCATGTGCGCGCGTGTTTGCTATGTGCGCGCGTCTGGCTTGTGCGCGCTCGCGTGTTGGTTCCTAGCCAGTGCTCGCTAACAGCACTTGCCCCAACAGTCCGTCAAGGCTATACAGGGTATCTTCGTCTTTGTCCCCAGCTGGTGGGCGGCATGCTGCAGTTCTGCTTCCACACCTTCGTGCAGTCGCAGACGCTGTCCGTGGAGTTCCCCGAGATGATGTCGGAGATGATCAACGCCCAGCTGCCCCGCGTGCTCGCCGGCATGGCCAAGCCGCTGCTCTTCCATGGCAAGCGAGTGTGACGGCACGTGGGCTGCCCCCGTTGCGCCGCCGTCGTCGTCGTCGTCGTCGTCTTGCCCAACGAGCGGGGCTCCGACGGGGCCAACACGTAACCAGACGCTTGCCCCTTAAGGGCGACCTTGGAATTGGACCGCCACACACTTTGAGTTTTTTTTTTTTTCCGCCCGATTACAAATTATATTTTACGTGGGCGGAGTGTGTGTGGCCCGGTTCCTGAACTGGCTTACGGTGGCGGGGTTGTGGTTGCCCAGTGCACTAGCACAGCAGCTCTGGTTGACACCAGACAGCTCTGCCTCAACGATCCCACACAAAACTCTTACTTTTTTTTTACCTTATACAACTGCTTTCCTGTAGCCACGCCTGCGCCATTGGCCCACTGCGGCCGCCTCCAGAAGCCACATCTCGCAGCCAGCCCCGCTGACGTCACCCCTTACGGTTACCCCTCGACGGCCTCCATAGGCAATCCTCCTTCAGGTGTCCCCTTGAGCTGTCAATGTTTTGCTGGACAACGCCATCCTAGAGAAAAAACGCTCGCTGTGGGTCACCTTCCCCTCCCAGAACGGTCCCGCCTTCCGCGGCTGCTGTCGACGCAACGCTTTCGTCCGTTTGCCGCGTCTCGCGTTGCCGCGTTTCTGTGACCGCCGGGGAACGAGGCAGCTTGGATCACAAAAGTGGGCCAAGCGGGGCTCAGCCTTGCGATTCCCCTTGGTAGCTTCGTCCAGCCGGCCCGGCGTTAAGCGACCCCCATTCCCCCTCCCCCCCCCACTGTGCATAAGCGAAGGCCGCGGGTTTTCACGCGGTTGTTCTCGGAGCCGGTCGCGATGTCACGGGGTCACCGTTGTAACCGGATTCGTCCTTGGTGCAGTCCCTCGCGTAGCCGTGTACCTTTTGTGAAATTACAATAATGGATATTAGTTTGGAAAAGCCTTACATATCACCTTGCATTGCATGTGATCATGGCTATGTTGTCAGCAAATTCTGAGATGGATGATATCTTCTCCAGTTTAACTCTCAGAAAATGTCTCCTAATGTCGTCGTGAATTTTCTTGGTGTGAGATTCTCTTCTATTCACTCCTCTTCTGCTTTGTGTTGTGTCGCTTTCTTCACGCAATCTCGCCATATCTGATCCATCTCTACAAATGGGTTCATTAAGTTCTATATATATTAGTAATGCTTTGGATTTTCGGGCTTTGGGTGACTTATCAGTTTACAATTGCTTAAATGCATTTTCATATAAAACAAAAGCAAGGCATATTGTCTTTTTTTACGTGATCACTAGTAGAAATATGTCTATTTGCCTTTGAAGATCTGCATTGATTTCCTCCACTGGTTTCACGATTGTATCTGTTGTCTACTGCAGTGCTGTCATCAGGGGCGGAGCCAGGATTTTGACTTTGGGGAGGGCTGACTTCAATATTCTGAGATATCCAGTGAATGTTTTCCAATGGGCGCCACAAATGTATAAAACAAATGTATTGGATTTGAACGCGGAGTTTATTAATAGGTCGTAGCCGCTGATGTGGCTACTAAGTTCGATAAGTTCGAAAGGCTGCCGCTCAAGCAGCCTGCAGGGCAGCACACGAGGTGGCAGCCTGCAGAGTAGCACAAGGTGGCAGCCTGCAGGGCAGCACACAAGGTGGCAGCACACGAGGTGGCAGCACACGAGGTGGCAGCACACAAGGTGGCAGCACACGAGGTGGCAGCACACGAGGTGGCAGCACACGAGGTGGCAGCACACGAGGTGGCAGCACACAAGGTGGCAGCACACAAGGTGGCAGCCTGCAGGGCAGCACACGAGGTGACAGCCTGCAGGGCAGCACACGAGGTGGCAGCCTGCAGGGCAGCACAAGGTGGCAGCCTGCAGGGCAGCACAAGGTGGCAGCCTGCATTTTGCAGCAGCCGGATGTCCGGTTATCCCGATTACCGACTTTCCCAAAATTTCAGGGGGGGGGGGCTGAGCCCCCCCAGCCCCCCCTGTGGCTCCGCCCCTGGCTGTCTTGCATTCTAAGGGCTACTCTTTGTGATTTACTAGTTATTAAACCTTTTCACCCTTCCATACTCCCATTCGTTGTTGGAAGAACTTCACTTATATTCATATTATTAGCTCTTTCGGTAAAGTCACGTTGAAGGGAAACAATAAAATAATAAAATATATATAAAACAATAAAAATTATCACGACGTTTCGACCATAACACCTGATGATGACCGTTTGCGTTATGGTCGAAACGTCGTGAGAATTTTTATTGTTTTATATATTTTTTATTATTTTATTGTTTCCCTTCAACGTGACTTTACCGAAAGAGCTAAGAATATGAATTACTGCAGTCACGAAAGCTTTAAATCAAAACTTCACTTATCTTTGTTTTGTAAGTTAAGAACTCAATGAACTCGAGGAAATTATTGAATAACTTAAAATAAGAGAAGTTGAGCTCCAGGTAAAAATTAACGAAACTAAATTCACAGACAACAAATTTGCCGAAACAAAATAAAATAATTGTTGGAGAAACACGACTGGAAAATGCAAAAGAATATCCATATCCAGGTAAAATTATCGACGTTATAAATTATGAAATAACAAGGGGGAATGAGAGCAGGTTGGGAGTGCATATGGATTGTTGAATTTTATCATAAAGAGGAAACTATTAAATATGTTTATATCACCTGCTGTGATCAGAAACACGGACAAAGTAACTGGGACAGGAGCCGAAAAGTGAGCAAGGATGCATGGAGAGATGCATGTTGGGAACTATGCAGAGGAACAGACTGTCAAAAAGAGTCATCAGGATTGGCAGGACACGTCACTAGAAGGGACGATTGTGGGTGGTCGAGACTGGTGATGGAATGTTCGCCACGGTAGGGGTCTTGCCCGAGAGGGAGACCAACCACCGTGAGGCGAGAGCAATGAGGTTAGCTCATGTGCCGGAGTGTGAAGGATTGTGGCATCACGGGACCAAGGGGAGTTGCGAACACACGTGGAGGCTTTTGATTTAAAGCTTTCGTGACTGCAGGGATTCATCTTCTTGGTTCTTTCGGTAAAGCCACGTAGAAGGGAAATAGTAAAATAATAAAAATTAAACATAATAAAATAAAATTATCACGACGTTTCGGCCACAACACAAGCAGCCGTCCTCAGGTGGAGCACTGTCTTTCCGACAGTTCTGTTTCTTCACCTGACGAAACGTCGTGAGAATTTTATTTAATTATGTTTTATTTGTATTATTTTATTATTTCCCTTCTACACGACTTTACCGAAAGAACCAAGAAGATGAACACGTAAAAGGCCTTTAATACAACAGTGGATAGAACGTGGCTGACGATTATGACAGTGATTTACCTTGCGTGTGGCTGTGGAAAGTAGTTAGGTAAAGTGTTTGGGGAGGCTGAGCTCATGGGTTCTCATGGCTCATGACGCGTCGGGACATGTATCAGACATGCACCAGACATGTATCAGCGCCGTGCTGTTGTTCCTGTGCCATTCCTGGGGCACTTAACCCGCTCAACGATTGCCCCGTTCCACAGCCAGTGTCCACCATCCTCCCACAGCCACCACACCGCCTTGCCCTGACACAGTGGTACAGTTAATTTGTTTATGTTGAACTTATTTCGCACCATACGTAGCCAACCGTGTTAATCGGAGATGCTGTCCATTGACCCATTGCGGAGTCGGCGTTCATCGCTGGGTTGTGCTGTTGTAAAGTGTGGGCTCAGTGTGGGGAAACTTGCTTCGTCCGGGCACTGCATGGCTCCAGTTCTGGTGCAGGACGAACTGCACGGCACGGGTTCCCATCCCAGTTCTCCGTGAGCCATTCGGCTCCGTAGGCTCGGCCCCTCGCTACCGCTCCATGGCTATCGCAAAGGTCGAGGAGCGATCTAGAAAAAATGCACTTTGTGAAAAGCAGGCATGGGTTACAGTGAGGGAAAAAAGTATTTGATCCCCTGCTGATTTTGTACGTTTGCCCACTGACAAAGAAATGATCAGTCTATAATTTTAATGGTAGGTTTATTTAAACAGTGAGAGACAGAATAACAACAATACAATCCAGAAAAACGCATGTCAAAAATGTTCTAAATTGATTTGCATTTTAATGAGGGAAATAAGTATTTGACCCCTCTGCAAAACATGACTTAGTACTTGGTGGCAAAACCCTTGTTGGCAATCACAGAGGTCAGACGTTTCTTGTAGTTGGCCACCAGGTTTGCACACATCTCAGGAGGGATTTTGTCCCACTCCTCTTTGCAGATCTTCTCCAAGTCATTAAGGTTTCGAGGCTGACGTTTGGCAGCTCGAACCTTCAGCTCCCTCCACAGATGTTCTGTGGGATTAAGGTCTGGAGACTGGCTAGGCCACTCCAGGACCTTAATGTGCTTCTTCTTGAGCCACTCCTTTGTTGCCTTGGCCGTGTGTTTTGGGTCATTGTCATGCTGGAATACCCATCCACGACCAATTTTCAATGCCCTCGCTGAGGGAAGGAGGTTCTCACCCAAGATTTGACGGTACATGGCCCCATCCATCGTCCCTTTGATGCGGTGAAGTTGTCCTGCCTGCTTAGCAGAAAAACACCCCAAAGCATAATGTTTCCACCTTCATGTTTGACGGTGGGGATGGTGTCATTGGAGTCATAGGCAGCATTCCTCCTCCAAACACGGCGAGTTGAGTTGATGCCAAAGAGCTCCATTTTGGTCTCATCTGACCACAACACTTTCACCCAGTTGTCCTCTGAATCATTCAGATGTTCATTGGCAAACTTCAGACGGGCATGTATATGTGCTTTCTTGAGCAGGGGGACCTTGCGGGCGCTGCAGGATTTCAGTCCTTCACGGCGTAGTGTGTTACCAATTGTTCTCTTGGTGACTATGGTCCCAGCTGCCTTGAGATCATTGACGAAATCCTCCCGTGTAGTTCTGGGCTGATTCCTCACCGTTCTCATGATCATTGCAACTCCACGAGGTGAGATCTTGCATGGAGCCCCAGGCCGAGGGAAATTGACAGTTATTTTGTGTTTCTTCCATTTTCGAATAATCGCACCAACTGTTGTCACCTTCTCACCAAGCTGCTTGGCAATGGTCTTGTAGCCCATTCCAGCCTTGTGTAGGTCTACAATCTTGTCCCTGACATCCTTGGAGAGCTCTTTGGTCTTTGCCATGGTGGAGAGTTTGGAATCTGATTGATTGATTGCTTCTGTGGACAGGTGTCTTTTATACATGTAACAAGCTGAGATTAGGATCACTCCCTTTAAGAGTGTGCTCCTAATCTCAGCTCATTACCTGTATAAAAGACACCTGGTAGCCAGAAATCTTTCTGATGGATAGGGGGTCAAAATACTTATTTCCCTCATTAAAATGCAAATCAATTTATAACATTTTTGACATGCGTTTTTCTAGATTTTGTTGTTGTTATTCTGTCTCTCACTGTTCAAATAAACCTACCATTACAATTATAGACTGATCATTTCTTCGTCAGTGGGCAAACGTACAAAATCAGCAGGGGATGAAATACTTTTTTTTCCCTCACTGTACGTTAGACTATTCTAAATAGAAATAAAAATGGTTACTTTTGTAATTTTCCACCAAGCATTTTTTGCACAAATACGACTGGAATCTGAATTGAACAGGTGACATCGCAGAGCGCGCGAATTTTCAGTCTGTGTTGACCTCGTGACGTCGCGACTTGGTTGTGATAAAAAAGAAATGTGGTCGTGAACTCCCAGGCCTGTCTTCCAAGCTCACTGGGAGTCGGGTCATTCCGGTACCGTGGGGTAAACGTGCTGAGCCGGCAAGCCTGGTCCAAGCACCAGGCCGGTATGCTTCGGCGTGCTCCCTCCGCTTCTTGAGCCGGTGGTTTATTACGCTAGGTGAATCTGGTTTTGTTTACCACTGAACTGAGAGTCGGATAGCGTTATTGATTTTGTGTCTGGTCGAAAGACTTCATCAATACCTGACGCACTTAACTAAGTGTAGGGCAGAATGCAGCGCTAAGGTACCCGAGACACCAAGGTTAACGCGGTGTGCCGTGCGTCTGCTGTGGAAAACTCAACGAAGTGACTCGTGCCGTTCCTTGATCTTCTCTTCTGAGCATCCAGTCTCCATCTCATTCCTTTCACTTCTTTTTATTTTGCCAATTAATTTTTGCTCGTAAAATTAAAAGGTGACGTTACGTTAATCTGAATTTGGACGCATTTTAAGATCATGTAATTAATGGGATATTTTTGTTTCATTTTTTGCCTTTTAGGAGTGTTTCTTTTTCCTTATTATATCATGGTCCAATATACCAGTGGCTGTTATCATACATGATCTAGAAAGGCATAGCAACATCGACTAAAAGCACTTTTGCGACTTATTAAATAAATTATCTTAATAATTACAGTATGCAGTCGAGTCCCTTTCGCGATAAAAATCAAGGCTCACTGCTGCACACACAAGTCAGGGCACGTATGAAATCGCCAGAGGAATTGGTGCTAATGGTAACATTGTTTCCGGGGGAAAGT